ATTATAAGAATACATTCAGGTGACTCACATATATTTGATCAAAGGGGAAAAGAACATTTATAGCTTATCCCTGACAGACGGAAACTCATTGTTTTAAGCATAGTCAAAAACTATTCATATAGTTTTTGACTATGTTGCGTATTAATCAATTTTATTGGTTCACTTTGCTTGTTCGCTGAAGTTTTTAATATTTCTCTATTATTGTGGATGAATAAATATTAAATTAAAAAGAATTAAATTTAAAATAAAGTGAAAAAAACAAGTCGTTTAATTAAAGGATAAAAATCATGTGAAAAAAAATACCAGCATACTGAAGATGATAAGGCCATTTCATAAATTCATTGAGCTAATTACATAGGTTCTATATTCATGATACAGTTCATAAGTATAGCATTTGAGTTTTTTTTATTGAAACAAGCATTGCTTTTCTTCAGATATTAAATTCTAATGAAGATGAATATGATATAAATTTTATTGTTTATTATTTGTTGTTTAATTTATATATTATTGTTATAACAGGTGACATCTTCTGAGTCAAACGCAGATATCTCAGAAAGCCCTCGTTTGTCTGAAAGAATTGACGTTGACGAAACTTTGAGTGAACAAATTTCGTGTCTTTCTCTTTCCAATCTCACTTCATTCACGGAAAGCTTCAGGGCTGCTCAGACATGTCCGAGCACTAATGAGTTTTCAGGGGTGTCTAATGTTGCTGATGAATTTAACCACTTTGCTGTTAATGATGTGGATCCCGTGCCAGATTTTGTGCATTCTACTCCAACGTCTAGTCCTCATCGTGTGGAAATTTTAGATGAGGTATGTTATAAATTAAATATATGTAGATTGCGACAATTTTCGGAACATTCAATGCAATGATAAATTTATTTACATTCTGAGCTTTAATTCTATATTTAAAATGTTTAATATACCTTATTTACTAGTATATGTTTTCCCTTTTTCTACTAGTTTTACCGCTTAAAAAACTAAGAGAGGAAATATATTCGGTGCATACTGTTTCTGAAGACACAACTTAAATCATAACTGTAAATAAAAAATTAATCTATTCATTGTTCTCTTACACAAAATATTTTAAAACACGAAAGGAGTTTTATTAGCCTACGCCTATTTGCCAACTATTGTTTATTATTTTAATCATAAAATATTCCAGAAACGAATAACGCAATTTAGAAGTCACTATAATGTTTAGTTAGCTATGCGTTATAAATATATGATATATTAAAAGAACATCTTTTTCTGTCTAATACAAGTTTTATTTTAAAATAATAATTTAGATTTATTTTGAAAGAATACAAAAGTGATATTTAGTATAAATAATGTGATATTACCACAAATTCCTTATGGACAATGAAACAGCCGATATGTCTTTTTTCGTTTGCTTCAGAGTAATTATAAGAATACATTCAAGTGACTCACATATATTTGATCAAAGGGGAAAAGAACATTTATAGCTTATCCCTGACAGACGGAAACTCATTGTTTTAAGCATAGTCAAAAACTATTCATATAGTTTTTGACTATGTTGCGTATTAATCATTTTTATTGGTTCACTTTGCTTGTTCGCTGACCTTTTTAATATTTCTCTATTATTGTGGATGAATAAATATTAAATTAAAAAGAATTAAATTTAAAATAAAGTGAAAAAAACAAATCGTTTAATTAAAGGATAAAAATCACGTGAAAAAAAATACCAGCATACTGAAGATGATAAGGCCATTTCATAAATTCATTGAGCTAATTACATAGGTTCTATATTCATGATACAGTTCATAAGTATAGCAACTGAGTTTTTTTTTATTGAAACAAGCATTGCTTTTCTTCAGATATTAAATTCTAATGAAGATGAGTATGATATAAATTTTATTGTTTATTATTTGTTGTTTATTTATATATTATTGTTATAACAGGTGACATCTTCTGAGTCAAACGCAGATATCTCAGAAAGCCCTCGTTTGTCTGAAAGAATTGACGTTGACGAAACTTTGAGTGAACAAATTTCGTGTCTTTCTCTTTCCAATCTCACTTCATTCATGGAAAGCTTCAGGGCTGCTCAGACATGTCCGAGCACTAATGTGTTTTCATGGGTGTCTAATGTTGCTGATGAATTTAACCACTTTGCTGTTAATGATGTGGATTCCGTGCCAGATTTTGTGCATTCTACTCCAACGTCTAGTCCTCATCGTGTGGACATTTTAGATGAGGTATGTTATAAATTAAATATATGTAGATTGCGACAATTTTCGGAACATTCAATGCAATGATAAATTTATTTACATTCTGAGCTTTAATTCTATATTTAAAATGTTTAATATACCTTATTTACTAGTATATGTTTTCCCTTTTTCTACTAGTTTTACCGCTTAAAAAACTAAGAGAGGAAATATATTCGGTGCATACTGTTTCTGAAGAAACAACTTAAATCATAACTGTAAATAAAAAGTTAATCTATTCATTGTTTTCTTACACAAAATATTTTAAAACACGAAAGGAGTTTTATTAGCCTACGCCTATTTGCCAACTATTGTTTATTATTTTAATCATAAAATATTCCAGAAACGAATAACGCAATTTAGAAGTCACTATAATGTTTAGTTAGCTATGCGTTATAAATATATGATATATTAAAAGAACATCTTTTTCTGTCTAATACAAGTTTTATTTTAAAATAATAATTTAGATTTATTTTGAAAGAATACAAAAGTGATATTTAGTATAATAAATGTGATATTACCACAAATTCCTTATGGACAATGAAACAGCCGATATGTCTTTTTTTCGTTTGCTTCAGAGTAATTATAAGAATACATTCAAGTGACTCACATATATTTGATCAAAGGGGAAAAGAACATTTATAGCTTATCCCTGACAGACGGAAACTCATTGTTTTTTTCAAGCATAGTCAAAAACTATTCATATAGTTTTTGACTATGTTGCGTATTAATCATTTTTATTGGTTCACTTTGCTTGTTCGCTGACCTTTTTAATATTTATCTATTATTGTGGATGAATAAATATTAAATTAAAAGGAATTAAATTTAAACATAAAGGGAAAAAATCATTTAATAAAAGGATGAAAATCACGTGAAAAAAATACAGCAATATAATTCCGGCATACTGAAGATGATAAGGCCATTTCATAAATTCATTGAGCTAATTACATAGGTTCTATATTCATGATACAGTTCATAAGTATAGCAACTGAGTTTTTTTTTATTGAAACAAGCATTGCTTTTCTTCAGATATTAAATTCTAATGAAGATGAGTATGATATAAATTTTATTGTTTATTATTTGTTGTTTATTTATATATTATTGTTATAACAGGTGACATCTTCTGAGTCAAACGCAGATATCTCAGAAAGCCCTCGTTTGTCTGAAAGAATTGACGTTGACGAAACTTTGAGTGAACAAATTTCGTGTCTTTCTCTTTCCAATCTCACTTCATTCACGGAAAGCTTCAGGGCTGCTCAGACATGTCCGAGCACCAATGTGTTTTCATGGGTGTCTAATGTTGCTGATGAATTTAACCACTTTGCTGTTAATGATGTGGATCACGTGCCAGATTCTGTGCATTCTACTCCAACGTCTAGTCCTCATCGTGTGGAAATTTTAGATGAGGTATGTTATAAATTAAATATATGTAGATTGCGACAATTTTCGGAACATTCAATGCAATGATAAATTTATTTACATTCTGAGCTTTAATTCTATATTTAAAATGTTTAATATACCTTATTTACTAGTTATATGTTTTCACTTACTTTTTTACTAGTTTTACCGCTTAAAAAACTAAGAGGGAAAATATATTCTGTGCATACTGTTTCTGAAGAAACAACTTAAATCATAACTATAAATAAAAAGTTAATCTATTCATTGTTTTCTTACACAAAATATTTTAAAACACGAAAGGAGTTTTATTAGCCTACGCCTATTTGCCAACTATTGTTTATTATTTTAATCATAAAATATTCCAGAAACGAATAACGCAATTTAGAAGTCACTATAATGTTTAGTTAGCTATGCGTTATAAATATATGATATATTAAAAGAACATCTTTTTCTGTCTAATACAAGTTTTATTTTAAAATAATAATTTAGATTTATTTTGAAAGAATACAAAAGTGATATTTAGTATAAATAATGTGATATTACCACAAATTCCTCATGGACAATGAAACAGCCGATATGTGTTTTTTCGTTTGCTTCAGAGTAATTATAGGAATACATTAAATTTTAAACATTTCTACGTATTGCATTCTATGTTTCGTTAAATGCATAAAGGTGTTCAGTTTCTGTTATTTTGTCTGATTATTTAGCACTATTTCTGTCAATACTTGCATAAAACATTTTAACTTATCAAATGGACAAATACCCAAATGTTAACCCCCTTGACAAGACTGTCTGCTTAATTTTGCACACCTGTGACTGCAAGTAAAACTGTCACTTATTTGGCAGCAAGAATATTTCGTCATTAAGGAATATCCCGTGTATTCAGCAAAAGCAGTATGATTGAACATGTTAATTAAATTTAAGTTATGATGCCCAAATTAAATATAGTTCATTTCAATTAATTATATTAATTATAATATATTAATTACATTACAATTAAATATATTAATATAATATATAAATTACATATTCAATTAAATATAGGTCAACTTATAGAGTACCAACTGTTCGTTACATATAGAGTGGATGGTATCTTTTTCATTGCTTTGCATATCATAAGTAGAATAATATGGGTTTATCTGACACTAAAATTAACACTGGCATCCACAGGGTGCTAATACTGAAATCCGCTGAGTTGTCTTCCGTCACAGAGTATTACAAAGTCCATACAGAACTGGTTACCAACTCAGCAGTTTAATATATTAAAGCACTGTGTTTCTTAGGAAGCCGAATCTCTTACCCAATGTGCATAATACATGCATACTTACTAAGGTGCTAATACTAATACCACTTACTAGGGTGCTAATACTAATGGATGTTTCTGTCCCTGAAGGAAAATATAAATTTTATTTTAAATTTATTTTTTTAATTGTTGTTAATTTATATATTATTACTAAATCAGGTGCCGTATGCTGAAACAAGCCCAGATGTTCCTGAAATCCTATTTTTTCCTGAAAATGGCTGATGTTGACAATACGTTGCCTAGAACCTGTTTATCTCTTCTATCAAACCTCAGTCCATTCATTGAAGGTTTTAGATTTGCGCAGGCTGCTACAGAGCGTTCAAGGAAGGATGATTTTGATGACTCTCTTCGTGACTTTCAGTTTGAAGAGTTCGACCCTATGAAAGAATTTCCAGTTATTGATCAAGATTTTAGTATTTTAGGAGTACGAATTTTTGATAAGGTATGTTATGTTTTAAGAGTGTATAAATTTGAAATTTTTAATCACATTAAACGCAGTGATAAAATAATTAAATTTCTACCTCATATCTATTTTTAAAATGAAGTACCTTCTATTATTAAAATGAAAGGCTTTCGTTGTCAAAAAGTTATAATTTTCATCGAAATGTTAACTGATTGAAGACAAAATATTAGATTGATGATAAGCATCTTGTTAAAACAAGTCAGAAAGGAATAAAGTTCCAGATGAAGATGCTGCATAATGATTAGAAGTTTAATAACTATAATGAGAGAATGCTAACAGGAAATTTACTTTAAATAAAAGAACGCTGCATAAAATATACTCTTTAAAGAATTTGTAAAGCAAAAAATAAAAGAAAAATACAGTGTTGAAAGCAATATGGATAAAATGAAAATTCTATTAGAATACATAAAAAGGGTAAATAGTATTCCTAAATTATTGTTCAAGATTTAATGCTGTAATGTTCATGTTATTTTCCTTATGAAAGATTTACCCTTTATTTAATTTTATATGTGTCTCTTGAATAATTTAAATCTTATGAGACATATACTGCCTTTACAAAATCCTTAGAAGTCCTTTTCCTAAAGCTAACACTATTTAAACATTTAATTCATTTACATTTTTTAATTAAATAATTTTCCATATAGTCTTGAATATTTTTCATGTAATCTTAAATATTTTTCTGTGACATAAGTATAGCTCTGTAAAACTTCATTCGTAGAACATTTTTATATTATTCAAGTGAAGCAGAAATAGTGTTCTTAATCAATAAGCATTTTATTTTTTAAATTTTATTTTTAGATTGACAATAAGAAAGAAAATCTACCTGAAAGTGCTGAACCACAAGAGCCTGCAGAAGTCAGTCCCTTGGTCATAAGACGCTGTGAATGCAACGTAAGTTACGCATTGTTTGTATGAAATTCAGGGGCGTAGCTAGAGGGGGGCAAGGGGGCATCTGTCCCCAGGCGCAGAATCCAAGGGGCGCCAAACTGATGTTACGACATTTTAGAATTAAATGTTTCCCATCCTTGGCAAGCAGGAGAAAACGCGAAAATTTTCTGTTGACCCTGGGCGCTGAAAACCCTAGCTACTACCCTGATGAAATTTCATTTCTAAAGACATTATATAAGTTCAACTTCAAGTGTATTTTTTGTGCAGTATGAGTTGCGACTTAAAATGTTATTTTCTCTAGCATTCTTATTGAGAAAGGAAGTTAAACGTGAACAAATTTTAGATTAAGAAAAGAAGAAAAATGCATTTTAAATTTTTTAAATCCATAAAATTTCAAAACTATATTAGCTTAGATTTATTTCAAACTAGATTTATTATATTAATAAAGCAGACACCAAAAGGACTGTTATTAGGCAGATATCTTTCATTTATGTGTTCCTTTTAAGAGTATTATGAGATTAAAAGTCTCCAACCAAAGATAAGTGTAATCAATGTGGAAAACGTCTTAATCTCAAATCCTGCACTAAGTTAGAAATATAATCATAAGGTTAATCTTTGTGCTGAATCATATTCTTGAACTGTAATTAAATCGTAATCAGAATTATTCTTATAGAAGCCACATGGTTAGTGTTGATTGATTACTGTAGAAATAATAATTCAATCTAGCATCACTATCTCGGCATTCTTGTCATCGTAACCCATGTGTAAATTCAATGCACCTACTTTTTCCTTTGAAAATGTTTCATAACAGTATCCGTAGTAAAGGTTTCTGAATCGATTAACATCTAAACTATCCACAGGACCTCATGTGGATGCTGCTGATAACTGCAGTTCTGCAGAATGAAGGGATTGAATATGCAAATTAAATATATCGTTATTCAAAATACTAAACTGGAAATTAAAATATGTTAACATTTAATTTTTTAAAGTCTGTAAATTTATTATCTATATCATAAAATACTTGCTTATTACTAAGTATTTTATGATATATGTAGATTTTTACTGTCACCTTTCTTTTCCGTTTCACTACCAAAATTCAAATTAGTGCGAAAGTATATGATGTGCGATTTCCGGACTGCAAGAGAGAGTGTTTCTAACTCTCGAAGCCACGTTTCGCAAGTTCAGACTGGATTTTATTAGTCATTATAGTTTCCCAAAGTTAAATGGTTACGCCAGTTTCGCGTTAATGCTTTTTGCAAGCCCTTGTTTACTTGACTTACTTAAATCTGTTTGATTACTTAAATCTGTTACTTTTAAGTTACATTACCACAAGTGATTGGCAGGTCTACAATTTCGAGCCGTGCATTTATGTTTCAATTTTGACTTTATAAAAAAGACCACTGGAAGGAATTGAGTGCCAGTCATTCTTTTTGCTGAATGCAACGAATTTATATTCCTCGAGAACGGTCTAGCAATCTGTATCGCCTGTAGAAATAACTGTAGTTTAGATTTAGAAATTTCTTACTTGAAAAAAGTTGGTTCTTGTTTAGGTCTAGAATTTGTAATCTTATCAATATCATTAAAGATTTTCGTTGTGATTATTTAAATTATATTGGAGAAATACGTAAGGTTAGTATTATTTTATACAACCAGTTATTTTATGATTTATATCTTTCCTGTCACTTCTCGTTCGTTTTCCGAACAGGAATACAGATTTGTTCGATAGTAAATTACTCGAAATTTTCTAATTGTAAGAGAGAATGTGTCCCTGTCTCTCGAGGCCACCTTATGGGATTTCGCTAGCTCTGTTAAGATTGCATTTTTCGCCACAAGATATGGCGGTGTGTATGAGCTTGAGAAGAGCATTTATGTTCAAGTTCCGTTTTAATAAAACATGTTTGTTTCAAAACCTTCTTAAAAAAGTTTTTTGCAGAACGAAGCGACGAATTGTCCCCTCCAAAGTCCATGGACTGCCTTCCAAACTGGTAGCAGGGAAGACTAAATTCTCTAAATAGATCATTGAACTGTTTGAGTATCCAATCTGAAACAGGACTATTACCTGTTGAAGGGGAAAACTGTACAATTGTCGACCATATTTAAAATCTTCAAGATGATATTCGGCGCGTTTTTTCGGGAGAGCCACTGTTAAGAAAATAACTATTTTTTGTGGATTTTTATATTTTATATTCTTTACTTCTGGCAACGAAACGTAGCTTATTAAATAGTTTAGCTATTTTATAACAAGAGATTATGCTTGAGATATATTCCTTTTGGAAAATCATTATTGCTTTTGAATCAACATCCATTACTAAAAAGAGATTGTGTTTAGAAAAAAGTCAACTGAAGAATAAGAATGAAATACATTTATGCCGGCAAAATTCTGCTGCTGTGTGTATTTTTTCTTGTACATTTAAACATATAATTCAAAAGGAAATCTGGTGAAATAAATAAAATTTTAAAAGCGTAAAATAAAAATTTTGTTTAAATATTTTCGTTGTTTTGTTTAGAATCGTTTGTTTTTTAATTTATATTTTTTACTTTTTTTTTTTTTTTTTTTTTTTTTTTTTTTTTTTTTTTTTTTTTTGCGTTTTCCATTCTTTCGACATTTTTTAACATATTTGATGTTGTACCTGATGTGCAAACATAATCAGATTTGTTTTATTACTATATTGCAAATGGCTTACCTTCTGTAAATATGTAACCGTATTTATGCGAATTATGCGCATCCCCATTTAAAACTTAATAATAAAAATTTTTGTCGGCGAATGTAAGCCATCAATGGTATGAGGAATTTATTGAATCTTATTTTATACAACAATGGATTTGTATAAAACTATCAATCAATGGTATGATAATTTTATTTAAATTTAGATACTATATTTTATACAACAATGGATTTATACATAAAGTAGCAGAACATAGAATTAACCTATTAGTGGGCTATTGTTATGTGAAACATCATTGTTAATACCCACTACCTGTATATACGGTACATATCGTAAAGTATGAACATGAAATAAATCGTAACATTTCTATCTAGCTAACAGTTTCTACAATCAGTGATTAATAGTAAACGTCTTTATTCACTATTTTGATGATAGCTTCCTTAGTCCCCTTCTACGTAATGGTGTAGTTAGGAGGCATATCAAACAAATTGGCGTCGCGTCAGCATTGCCAATTTGCCCCATTGAAAAATTCTTTTCCTTCCGAAGTGTGATGACATACCGCTAAAATGTTAGTAGTTTTCCTTCAAAATCTGCAGGAAGCTTTTGGCATATTGTTTGTACGGCGTCTTAGAGATAAGCCCATCCGCTTCATCAACCGATCCACCCATCCACGGCTAGCTTTAAAACTCTGGTTTCGGTATTCCAAGAACTTCAGCCTCCTCTTTTGCTTTATTTCTTATAGTGTCACTAGTCACAGGTTGTCCATTCTTCCTCCTTTCACGTACAAATTCCAAAACTTTTTCTTCAATTTTAGGTGTCTTCCTTTGCGAAGGCCAGTGGAATTTCTTTCTACTAGTTTTAGTTGCAAACATGGCAATTTCTGTTGCCGCCACAAGCGAACATTGCTCTCAGCTACGTTTAACTCTCTCCCAGCCTTTCTATTGCCATTTCTTTCAGGATAAAGAATTACTTACGTTTGAAAGTAGCGTCATATGACATTCTTCTCTGCTAGCCCTCCATTTCGTGACTACGTACTCTGCAGTTTGTATCCTCTATGCAATAATGTGTCAACCATAAATGTAACGGTAAATGTAGTCGAGAAATACAGTAATCCATTGTGTTACGATTTAAATTTGGTTGACGTCATCGGCGAACTTTTGCACTCGAATCTAATGCGCCATCGAATCTAATGCGCACCCCAATTTTGAGTACTACATTTGGCCAAAAACGATGAGCATTAGATTCGCGTAAATACGGTAATCAGATATTGTGATTGCATACGATGCGGTTACATTTCATAGATGTCGCATTTTATAGATACAATTTTTCGTAAGATACAATTTATGGAATAGCTTCAGTATAGCTCACTTTTATAGTTTGGCGAATGTGTTTTGGCGCAAAAGCACATGAAATACGTTGTTTTGAAAATGGTTGCCATACAGATTCTCGACGAAACTCCGTGTTTCAAAAATTGGCGGCCATCTTGATTTCACCAGAAATTGTGGATAATAGAAATAAATTTACCACTATTATACACTATTTTAAGAGAAAGAAATATTAAGAAATGATTAATAAAAATGATTAAGGTTAAAAGGTTGTAATTTTAGAAGAATACCGAAAACCTTTAGCTATTTCATCCTTAATAAATAATTTGGTAAAAGTGTAGAATAGGCTGCATCAACAAAGTTGAGAAGGCGGAACTGTGTGACATCTATAAACGGACGGGAATAAGCTTGTGACGTCACAATCTGTTCTCGCATTTATGCTTCGCGTACTTTCTATTAGACTCAACTAGGCGTAGTCCCCCTTTCTTCGCTTCTAAGTTCCTGCTTCACTAACATATCGTAGTCGCTTGTCAGCTTTGTCCATTGTTTCAAAATGTGATACGTTGGATAGCTATTGAAAGTGTTTATTGCATTAATAAAGTTGTCCCAGCACAGCAGATATGTATTTCTAAGAAATCTTTTCCCAGAAAATAAATTGATGCTTTGAAAAAACGTTGTTTTGTGATTTCCCAAAAGTGCAGTCATCAACTACTCAGCATAATTGCAAGGAGTAATTATCTATCACTATCCGGTTAAATGCAAGACAGCTGACGTCATCTCTTCATAGGCATGGACCTTATAAGAGATAGACTAACCCAGTGGGCGGGTCGAGCGTCACCGACATGTGCGCATGAGAGTAGGGACGATCTGGTTTACTTTGACACTGAAACCTATGGCGTTTGTATCACATAACTGACTTATAACTGTTTTAATTATTAAATGTGATACGTTGTATAGTAATGAGATTATGAAAGTCACAGTTTTTTTCATATAGGATTTAATACATCTCATT